TAATGTGGCGGAAAAAAGTTGTTACGCCAGAGGGGCGCCAAATGGCGCCGTAGCGCAAATTGGCGTAGCAAGTGGCGTAAATTTTAGCAATCGGAAAAAAATGAATGTCATATTCGTAATCAGGGTCTCAAATAACCCCTATATACAAGTTTACATCGAATTTGACGAAATTCAGTCAGGGCGCCATCTGGCGCCAAATGGCGCCAGCGCCAAAAATGAATCTCATATTCGTAATCAGGGCCTCAAATAACCCCTATATACAAGTTTACAGCGAATTTGATGAATTCAGTCAGGGCGCCAAATGGCGCCAAAATGGATCTTATATTCGTGATCAGGACCCTTGATAACCGCTACAGGAAAAGTTTCAGCGTGAACTACGGAAGATATATAGAAAAAACAAAAAAAACAAGATGGATTTCCCCTGGGACAATGTCAGCCACCGGTGGCTGACATTGCGCAATCGCCTCTGCCGGCGCTGGTCCGAACGGGCAGTCTTCGAAAATCCACGCGGTGGTAATGGAATGTGTAGCATTCGCCACAGACCCGCTTGGAGCTTTACCAAATTCGGATAGAGTCTTGCCCAGCCTTTCGATTAGTTAGTTTATCCATGTACCTAAAGGGATAGCAGTCTTGATTTCTGCGCTGGTTACAAGTCATCGTATAGGAAAAACGCGGTTCTAGTACCGATGCTGTTCCTAATTGAAATGCTTGACACAATCAGAAAAGGAGTGGTTCAACTCAGAGCGTTTTCACCTGCTCGTTCTTCAGATTTGTTCTGAATCCAATTAGGTTTTTTTTGCATTACAATTGTGCCCAATGTTCTGCCTCGTCAGATCAATTTTTAGCTGCTCCACTGAAATGCTTAGTGCTATGTGAAAATGAATATGTATCCCGTGTTGTTTGCGAGTCCCTGGACACACCTCAACAACGGAGTGGATTGATTCGCGTAGTGCCTCAGACGGGAGTTCGTAAGTCGTCGATCAGCATCCATCTCCGGATTTATCAATTTTTTCATTCGCTTTTTAGCGCCTGCTTTTGCTGAGTACCATCGCTTGCCCAACCAATGCTCAGGACTTTGTAATCAGCAGGTAAGTTCTCTCATGCTACCTGGTCTGTGACGTAAATGGAACCATAAAAATGGAAATTTGTTGTGCACGAATAAGATTTCGATAGGGTCCGTTTCGATATGCGTAAATGCAATTCCTACATCCCAAAATCGCACTTGTCTTATGAGGAGAACTCTGCGAGTCTGTGAAAATCATCATAATACGCAGAGTTTGTTCAAAGAACGTCTGATAGTTCAGAGGATGGCCAGGACCGAAGAACACTGCTCCAGCTTACTAGGAAGGTCCTTTAGGTCGTAGCCCACTTTTCAAACTCTTTTAGACCGTACCCCGCTTTTTTAAAACGGTCTTTTGCATTACCTAGGGGTACATGCACGGGATAGAACTATGGCTCATCTTCTCAAAGCGCCCTCTGAATGTCAAAAATGGGTCTAAAAAGCTCAACTGCTACTTTATTCAGATATCTTTTTTTCGGAAAACCTTCTCAGCTTTGCTGCTGATGATCATATGATAATTATGGGGCCCATTCAGGGTCAACCGTCCGTTGGGCGACGACAGCAGTAATGCGGAGACACAGACGGCTCGCGGGTGGCGAGAGTGAATGCCGGCGCGGAGAGCGGTGAACATCGGTCCAACGTCGCTCCAATATCGGTCCAACGTAACGGTTGACCCTGGGCCATTACTGGTCGCGGACACCATTTCACAGCATAATGCATCTCAAAAATGCGAAACTTTGTCACCACAAGGAATCAAACTAACCATAAATCAATCCGCTCAGGAAAAAATTAATCATAGGCCTATGCTCTATGCGCTGACTATATGCTCCTTTCAAAAAACGAGAAGAGCGTCGGGTGCAGACCATACACCACAAGTGACGACGGCCTCCACAAAATGTTAATGTTTTCTGCCAATGAAATGATTAGCCTGTTGCAGTTGTATTCTATCAGTTGTCACTAATTACAACTATCATTTACCAAAAATCAGCTATCACTATGAACCACTACTAACCAGATTTACTTGGAGGCCGTCGTCAGTTGTGGTGTATGGTCTGCAGCCGATGGTCTTCTCGTTATTTGAAAGAGAGTTTATAATGCAGTAAACCGCTCTGAAAAAACGTGCAACCTGAAAGACCTCCTCGTTAGTCCTAGTTGGGTCGCGATGTGTAATTTTAATAAGTAGGCATTTTATCGAACATTTTCATTTTAGAAGATGCCCTCATCGTCGTTGTTAGTGTTAACATACCGAACTTTACGAATGTAGTGGACACGATATGCTCTAATCGATTGGACATTGTTGTATCAATGGATAGGAGGTAAATCAAATGCGGATCGAAATCAAGGGATAGTATTCTGGAACATTTTGGCTGTATTATCTTTTCAACGCTCGGATTTTTACCTTCTTAATCAATTACGCAGTAGTAAACTCGGATCCTAACAGGATCGATGTTCATGTTTCAGTGCAGTTTTTGGAGGATTTCACAGTTTATCTGTCTAATAGTTTTTGAACTAAAATGCAATAGCTTGTCAGTTAGAGTCCATTGTCGCTTGCTGGAGAGAATCACGGTCCAGAGTTGCGTTTTGCGATGCTGGAACTGCGAACAAAATTGGGTAGCGGTAGTTATTTTGATCATTCAGTACTGCCTCAATTTGCTTACAATTAGTCAAAGTAAGTATATGTAATTTGGTTGAGAAAAAGAAACATGATGTTTTTCCGTTACAGATCTTGTTTCAGTCTCGTAGGGCCATACAGTGGCCAAAAAGATTTTTATCGTAGCACTTACCCCCAACTTTTTCGTACCGAGGGCACCACAGAAATTTTTCAAGGCTAACTAGCACTGAGACATCCATAAGTAGGATGCAAGCCCTTGTTCGCTGCCCCAGTGTCCTCAGAATATGAAGTCATCTGCCATTGCTGTGAGGCATTGATCTCGAACCACGCATTATTTTTCCGTGACAAGTTCTTCTAGTACCGCCCATGTAGAAGTTGCTCTATATACTCGGATGTGCTCATCAATTTTCAACTGGATCGAATTGACTTCAGCAAGTGATGCTCGAAGGACCATTCCACAGCCAGTTCGTGGGTCCAACATAGGGTGTCACCTAGTAGAAAGGTGGGCGGACTTCTTAAGAGTGCAATTCGCATCGAAGGATATGCTCCGGCGATCGGGTGTGGCCCTCTTCGCGGCACGATCGACGCGGCACGCCTACTAACTGGCTAACCACTCGTCGCAAGTTTGAATAGAGTCGTTGCTATTTTTAAGTGCCTGAAGTCGTCGCACAGTAAGCAGTCGCCTACCGGAGTTCAAGATCGAAATAAGAACCGTTAACTTCGGATTCTCTTCATGCAGATAGCGCAGTCGCACGCTATATGTTGCTTTCCTAGATTGGAATTGTAGATTCTTCTTTTTGGTTTAGAGAATGAAAAAAATGTCGTGCATATTTTAGAAAAAGCAATGCCGCATCATGTGAAGCACGCGGTACGCAAAGGGTCGATTCAACTTTGAAATTGAACAGAAAATATCGATTTTTGCTCCTCCTGCTACATGACTTGATTTTTTGTAGCTCTATACATAATATTCTTCCGCATTTTTCGGATCATTTTTCAAAAGGGTAAAAGGTAAAAGGCATCGGGCTTTTTATGACTTGTGAAGGACAGCCTACAAACAGGGGTGGGGGCAAAAAAAGTCACTTTCATTCACATTCAAAGCAGAGTTAATTACATTTTGAAATAGCACGAACCGATCTATCAAAAAATTACATAGGGGCTTTCTACACCGACGACATCAGAAGATTTTCCCACGGAAACATGGTGCACGGTACGAGCTCAACGAGGTCGTCGAGAAACCATAGACGATTACGACGTCTCTGAAACGCTGGTCAAAAGCCATCTTGCATAGTCAGAGCTAGTGTCCCTAAGAAGCCATTCACCAGTTATCCGATTGAAGAAATTATGTAGCAGCTTCAGAATGGAGCGATTATGGTAGGCCTCCTTGAGCTCGACGGTGATGACAGATGACGTCATATTCTGGAGACGGTGAAGGCAGCGAAGGTGGGCCTGATTCTGCTTATGGGGGACATCTAAGGAATATTTCGCCGTATAACTCCCAATAACAGCGGCATCCTTTGCGACAAAAACTTTGATGATATGCGGCCATCGTGTCGAGAGTGACTCTTTTGTCGCTCCCCGGGCCCCCCCCTGTAAATACCAGTGTTCATCCGTCTAGGCGAGTCTGGTATCAACGACCGGACTCCGAAGAGATGGAGGGCCTGCTTATTAGTTAGAATCTGTACGAGCTGGAGTTGGTCCCCACGAACCGCTGCACAAGCGGGATCACTTGGTATTACACCTTTGCCGTTATTGTGCAAACTTTCGTGGGTCGTAAGTTTGCAAAGACTAGTTCCAGTTTTGGGTTTGGACAAACTTTTATGCGCGTAATTTATGCTATACGAAGTTATTATCGAACACCGCCATAGAGCTTTATTCTGGATCATTTCTAATTCACTTCTTCAAGCGTCCCGCCGACGGCCGCCTTACGAAAATCGCCGATGAGCCAGCGTGTCGACGAAAATCACTTTTTGGGAGCGAGAGGCGTCCATAGATCAAAGCGGTTGGGATGCGGCGGCCGCTGTAAACTCAGACTGAACTTGGAGTGTTGGGGAATTGAGATGTAGAACACAATTTCAGATACGACTTCAGCTACGCGTTTAGTCGATTGCAGTTGCGCTGTAGTAAGATGGAGTTTGTCCAGTATATTCCTGCTGTGGAGCGTTTACGACAAAAAACTGTAAACCAGGATTGGTGAGTAATTTAAACCACCACATCTTTTCTGCTAGATAGTCTTTCCTTCTGGTACTTCCACCATGCACGGTGTGTGCGATTACTGAGCTTTTCAGTAAAACGTTTTGTTCTGACAAGGGAAGGATACCAGGTCGAAGTGGCCATTTGTAACGAGACATACACCACTAGATGTGTTTTTGGACGCTGATCTCGAATCTGCTCTCCAAATCTGCGGAACGATTCTCTGAACGTAGTTATGAAGCGAGATAGTGCAGTGGCAGCGGCCCGAGCCGACGAACAGTAGGTCGTGAGATCGACTTCTTGGCGAGTTATCAGCTTTGCTTTTTTAGAGAACATTGTTTGAAGGAATCTCATTCATGTTAAATCATCAGCGACTGCCTATCCTGCAAATGGGTAGAGCTGGCGAAGAGCTTCGAACACTATGCGCGTCATTTGCCGTTTCCATTCGGTCGTGTGTGCCAGATTTTCAACTTCAGGTCAAAGTTTTAGATTTGGACCAAAAGTCCTTCGGAAGGGGTAGTCTGACACGCTGAACAAGAATATCATATCTGTTCGGCACGAAAGTGCCTGACACGTGCGCTACGAGTACCAGAGACGGTCATTTGCAAATGACGCGCATAGTGTTCGAAGCTCTTCGCCAGCTCTATCCACTTGTAGGATAGGCAGTCGCTGATGATTTAGCATGAATGAGATTCCTTTAAACAATGTTCAAGAAAAGCAAAACTGACAACTCGCCAAGAAATCGATCTCACGACCTATTGTTCGTCGGCCCGGGCCGCTGCCACTGCACTATTTCGCTTCATAACTACGTTCAGAGAATCGTTCCGCAGATTTGGAGAGCAGATTCGAGATCAGCGTCCAAAAACACATCTAGTGGTGTATGTCTCGTTACAAATGGCCACTTCGACCTGGTATCCTTCCCTTGTGAGTAGGATACAGACGAACGTTTCAAGTAGGATAATCATTTATTCACTCCTATAAACTCTTACTCGACCATTGCCGTTTCTAAAAGGCGCATTGCTGGTGGGGTGGCACTAGCAGAGGAGAGGACGCACATCCTTCTGATGATGACACTGTACGCTGTTAGGCGTTTCCAAGAATAGATTGAAGATGAATACTTCGCAATTAGTCGTACAGACCATGTTGGGGCTGCTATCCTAATGAGAGAACGGGTTCATGGCGTACTCCTTTTGTCGGAACAGGACATCCAATACGTTTTTTTTCAGCGCACGTCGGCAAGGCTTCGAGCTCACTTCACACGAGTTTAGCGAGTACTGCGACCGCCTGTCCAGGTTACCGTCGATAGAACGAGGCTTTTATTCAAGGAGTAACCGTTTTGCAGTACTGGTAGGTAACAGAAGATATTTTTTCTACGGTGTCCACCTACTCGTATGTCGTTGAAGGGTCAGTCGCCGAATATTGCTGAGCAACCATTCGTTCACGTCGCTGGTGACATGCCAAATAGTACTCTGAGCAAGCGAGTATGCGAATACTTGAAAGGCGGAGACGTCATCAGAAAAAGGCTGAAGCGGCAATTTGAGTATAAAGACGATATGATAGATAAGAAGAGTATAGAGTTCTATGATGATATGATAGCGAAAATAGATAGCTTATTAAGTGTATAGAGCTTTCACTTGAAAGTTTCAGGTTCACGTCTGTAAAACGTGTATGAATTCCTTGTTTTGATGCTCATTGTAATAATTTAATATGATAATAATAATTGGTTAAATAATTGTTTGATTGTTTTCATGATGAAAAATAAAACTTTGGTCATTTTGCGTCATCATTGAGTAAGCCATGCATTCGTGTTCTGCTAAAAATTGCGAAGGCATTTGAATGCGTTTTCGGCTCAGTGTGTGGTTTGAGGGAATCACCAATATGTACAGGGGGGGGGCAATAAAAAAGACATTTTGTCTCCACTTTCAGATGGATTTAATCACACTTTGCTCAATTCAAACCGAATGGTTCCCAACTTATTATTGAAGAGCGCATTTCATTCTATAAGAAAATCTTCATAGTGGCCACCTACGTGGACGGCATCAGAAAATTTGCCCCGGAAACATGGTGCACTGGTCGAGCTCAATGGGGTCTTCGTGTACCATAACGACCTTTACTGGAAAGCTAGTTCCGAGGGGGTTTGCATAGTGGGAGCTAATGCCTCTAGAAAACTATCCAACATTGAATCGATTCACGAAATTATGTAAGAGCTTCAGGCTGAAGCAGTTACGGTAGGCCTCCTTGAGCTTGACGACGATGACAGATGACGTCATATTCTGAAGACGGTGAAGGAGGGCCTGCGTGTACTTATAGAGGGACATTTAGGGAATATTTTGCTGAGGAACTTCCGTCAACGACGGCAATCTCTGCGAAGAAAAAAAGGCCGAAGTGCGACATGGGCAAAATGTCTTTTTTTGCCCCCCCCCCTGTATATTCCGGACCCCTATCTGTCCTTTTATTTCGTGAGGCTGAGAGAAGATGTCCTGCACGGAATGGGTGACTGGTTACTTCACAGAGTGCT